ATAAGGCATGTGTTTAACTGAATAAGAGAGACACATAAGCACATGCATAAAGCTTTGCTTTAATGGAACCAAATTAGTAGTCTGGAATAATGTTAAGTAAATTATGAAAAGCATGAGCATCTAGAAACGTATTGTAAACTAGACTATTTAAAGAATGCATACCACTAATAGATAAACAAGAAGACCATACGTACAGTCTCTGTTGGCATTTATTGACTTTTCTTAACAAGAAAAAGTGACTGAGACACATCCTTTGTTGAGGATTAGACTTTACAAGAACCTGTTTACTTCAACCATAGCCTGCTACTGCTATACAAAGAAAGTATTTAGATGGTTGATAGATGAAGGCATGATCAGAACACTAAGCAGAAAGGCCATAAAGACATTTGAGCGTATGTATTTGATATAAATATTATAGTTTTATAGAGACATCTAGATCAATATGTGCCACACTTCATTTAGTTACTTGACAAGTGAATACCATGTATTCAACTGAATGCTAAACAGAATTTCATGTTTACTATCTTTGATTTATAATGACAGATTAGAGTGGCTTTTTTCAAGTTCTTTATATTTGTTCCAATAAAATGGATATGATTTCTTTCAAAATAAACAGGCAAAAGATTTGCCTTTTGTATTGTGTCCTCTGAACAAAGAACGATGCAAAAATCCTTTTTGAAGGATCCTATTCACAGTGGATCTGTTTTCATTTACAGTGCTATTTACATGGATTAAGTTTATGTTCTCAGTTATCCCATGTCAGAATTCTGGATGTTTTAGATTTTGCTTATTTCATTTTTTTCTTCCTGAAGCTGTTTGTATCTGTGGTAGCTGTGGACCTTTTAACACCATTTTTGTTTACTTTATAAGAAGCTATTGTATTTTTAGCAAATGTGTCATTATGTCAATACTTGAGTGGAAAAAAATTAGGTACTTTAGAGAATTTCAACTGTGTAGAATCACAGGTGAAATCAACTGTGTAGAACTTTACTAATTTTTCATATTTCTCACAGTAATTAATTTTGCGAATGTTAAGTACATATGGGAGAGAATGGATTAGTGTGGCTTTATTGGTTGATAGAATATGGCTCCTGGTAAGCTTTTGTTTCCCTGTAAAATATTATTTTTGAAGCATCACAATCATGTAATATGGATTCCCATTGGTATATTAAAACAATTTCACCTCTGATAACATGATACCAATGACAACTATTACTTAACAGAAACCTGAATACTTATCAGCCATAAAAATGTCTACATTCCTGAATTGTGGGGTTTTTAGTATTTAGTATTGTAAGGGAATTTCTAAATTTTGTTTTAAAGAATGAAAAACAAACAAACAAAAAAGTAAATAATAATAATTGAGCTGAATACTGTAATAGTTTTGAGGTTTTTCATAAACAAAAGGGTCGGACATTTCTGTTGACCCCAAATTATTAATACAATATTTTCCTACCAACTAACTCTAGCTCAAAGCAAAAGATATCCAGTATGTTTGCTTTGCTTAAACTTGGTGCATGGAAAAAAAATGTCTGGTACATGGAAAGGGAATGGTTACTGGAACAAGCAGAGGAAGTTACAAATCTTCAAATCTTATACAGGACTGATTGGAACAATATAAGCTTTCTAAATTTTCTTAAATAATGTACCTAATAACTCTCTCCAGGCAAGTAGGAAATCTGTTTCAAATTTCTTCTACTTCTAAGCGAAAATGTAATTTATTTTAAAAAGAGATTTTGTTTTTGTGGAAAGATTTCAACCAAAAATTAATGTAAGTATCTCATCAGAAAACACTGAAATGTAGGAGGGTTTGTTGCAATCACTGCTCAGGACACTCTCTTGCACTATGGAAAAACAGCAGAGAAGAGAAGAATAGATCATGTCCAGCCCCAAATCAGAGTGCTAAAACGAAACCATGGTGCAGATGCCTTCTGACACTTGAAAAAACTCAGTCCTGATGTTCAGATGCAAGAGAATTTGACAGCCAAATATTTTATTTTCACTGGAGCAAATTGCTGTGAAACCCTACTGAATGAGAACCATAACAGGATCGAATTATTGTACCAAATGCATCTGCTTTTGGTGGGAGGTTTTTGGAGTAGATAACCTCTGGAGGTCTTTTCCAACCTGAATTATCTTGTAATCTTAGGATCCAATGAACATTTCTTCTGCTGTAGAATAATCACACTCTATCTGGCTTGTAGTTTTTCTCTTCAGTTTACTCATCTTTTTAAAATACGGACTCTAATTAATATCAGAAGAGAAACATATGAAGTGAAATCTCCCAGGAAGGAAGTAAATTTTCTGTGCAAGAGCATTCAGGAAGAGACCCTCTTAAAGCTAACAGCATAGGATCTGTACAAAGCAGTTGCCTACAATCAGAAATTAATTATGTTATTAAAAATAATGCATCAACTACACAAATGGAAAGTTCAATTTCTTAATTAGAAATAGTTGGAAACATTTGAAGAAAATAATACCCATAGTTTAAAAATAGTCATCTTAGCAAATGTGTACAGACATCATAAGGAATACAAATGAATATTTTTAGCTGCGTTATCGTTTTCTTGGGCCTTTGCGTTTTTTGATGCTAGATGGGTTTACAGTCAGTAAAAAAGTTCTGAATACCACTAGACAGCTGGAACTTTCCAATATGTTAATGTAACATAGTGTATCAAACAGTCTGTTCAGAATTAGATCTAATAAACCACTAAGTTCTAAAACATCTCTTCAGAATTGGAACTTTCTTGGGGTTTTCCATTTACATTGATATATTGGATGGAGATCCATCCATTTGGTGGGGGATGAATCTCAGCTCTTGAAATCATATTTTACCCTTCTGTGTTGAAGGTTATTATCCTGACCTAACAGAGCGTAATAACACATGCACGCATAGCGCTGGCAGCTCTGGCAGTTGACCACTAGGGAAACTGAGGAAGAGTGCTTCTGAAGAGGGGAATACAGGCATCGTTTTATCCTGTATAGAGTGTCCTGCAAACTCAGCCAAGCTGCAAAGGTCTCAGAGGAAACCTCTTAAGGACCCTTTACACCAAAAAAAGGATGAGCTAATATATTTTATGTCTTTTCTTTCTGACATTGTGTTTACCGCATCATAAAACAGGAAAGCTGTAATGCTGGGACTTTTGTGTTTTTAAGCATTTCAAATCTGAGAACTCAGTGCTCTGTACACTTACTGCACCAAAAACTTAGGTTAAAATTGAGCAAAATGTTACTGAAGCCAAAGAGGACACTCTGTGTAGCTAGTTTAGCAATAAAAGTTCATAGTACTGAATCCTATGTTTAATATAACCCAGCATGATCTGAGTCTCATATAACCATATATTCCTTGCCTGTTAAAAAGAATGAAAGCATTGAAGTTTTTGACTACTGCTGTTTCTAAAGTTACATCTGAGTCCTGGTGCTGTCACTTCACTAAAAACTTCTGCAGAAGTGGTGTTTGAGTTTATCATATTTCTAAATAAAGCATTGAAACTCTGTGCTGTGCTATTTATTAAAGTGGTACTAGTAGAGCAATATCATAAGAATGTGCTGGACTGGTATAATAGTTTAATGTGTTTTGCTTTCCTAGTCACTATCTGAAGCACTGCAAAAGTAACAGTACAGCATGGTGATATTGTTCATGATGCATATTACTGATTTATTCTTTGTTCTGCATATTTATCCCTTTTCCAATGAGTTGTACACACTTCTCACACATTTTATCAGGCACCAAATTATGAAGCAAGAACAGACTTCTATTATAACCCACTACATAATTAATCATCGGTGCCACCTATTATTTGTTGTTTCCAGCCAATGACGTTTCTGCATTGCTGAGTTTTCCACAGAAAATTAGAAGTAGGTTAGACCTGGGTGGTCCACCCCTTACCCTTGAAATTACTTCACATTTGGCATTTGAAGTGCCGAATAAGATTGTGAAATTGTGTGTTTGTAGCGCTTGTGTATAGACTATGTGACTGTAATGAAGTTGACTTTCTGTTAATTCAGGAATTGTATCTATACCACCTTGTCCCTCATCCTGACTGCTGTGAGCAGCGTGGTTATTGGAAGTGTTAGCAATAGGCATATCAAAATCATCATCTGTCTTAAACCTGTGACAGTAATGGAAGCTGGGGTTGATTTTATTCCGTGAGAGAAGTTGTGAAACAGTGGAGGATATTCTAATCACAAATGTTGGGGCTTTGCTTTACAGTAATAGAGGAGCAAAGATCCCTTAAGTCATGAAGAGTGCATTTTCCTCTCCTTCAGCATCTAGAATTTAAGCTGTAGAATTCAATAATGTGTGTGTAGTATATTGTACTTCCATCTTTACATGGTCAGCTACATCTAGTAATGGAAATGTGGAGCAGTAAAAGTGTTTCTGACATCACAGTCTGTGCAAACTTTGATTTTCTAAGCCATCTGTTGCAATGGTGCAACAAATGATATCTCATTGTAAAGTATACTCTTGTAGGAGTTCTGGTAGGAAAAAGATTTATTTTTTACAGCTTATGGCATATAATTACCAAGCTTTGCACTGCCTTTATTGGCTTAAGTGTCTGCTTTCAACTATGGAAAAATACTGAATCGTTTTAGGGAGATTTTCTGTCTCATTATGTCATAAACCAAAAATTTAAGCAGTAAATCTCAGTAGAGGAGATGAAGATGTGGAGAAAGATGTATAAAATAAAATATGACTTTGAAGGGAACTGGTTAATACAGTGTATAAACATATATATAAATGATGCCACTTACTGTTAAATGTGTGATAGAACTTGACCAAATGGTTTATTATTAGTAGTCTTTGCAGGTGAGAGTATATATGTATCTGCAATTGTAAAGCATCTTTTTTTGAACTGATGTTTTCCTTTCTGACTTCATGAAACAGGATCTAGAGGAACATCAAGAAAACACTGATACTCTTTTGGCCAATAAATTATCGTTTCCTTCTCTGCTTTCTTGTTTGCTTTGCAAGATTAACTCTGATTTTTCTGTAACAGGCACATAGTTGTCTGTGGTCACATAACACTTGAAAGTGTGTCCAACTTCCTGAAGGACTTCCTGCACAAGGATAGGGATGATGTCAACGTAGAAATCGTCTTTCTGCATAAGTGAGTAATCTTTCAACATTAGTCTTATCATCTGTTACAAAAACTCATTAAATTAAGACTTGTCTTTTTTTTGGAAAGACAGAGGATCTTTCAAGATTAAACTAACCTTAAAATTAATGTTTGCAAATACATTTATTAACAATGTATTTTGAAAAAGTTGTTTTCTGCAATTTTTGAAATCCATTGCTAAGGATAGGTGTTTCAAGCACACTTCAGACACAGTCATGTTGATTGTGAGGTAGATCACTAAACCCATACTTGAAGTGGAAATGGAATTATGAAAAATATTGAAATACTAATAATAATGAAATACTAAAAATATTGAAATACTAATAAATAGATGTGAGAATTTTCTTTAGTGGCAAATATTTCTTGTGAAAATATCAAAATTGGTAAAATCAGTAAAATTAGTGAAAAATACTATGTCATATAAACTTATGCTACCTGAAAACACATTTTAACCTTTGATTACTTAAGGAAAAAATGCTTATTTCATATTGAAAAATATTTATAAAAAGGAAAATATAGGTACAGATTTAGCTTTAATATAAATGAGATACATCATTTTACAGATATAGTGAAAAAAAAAAAAATTCTTGTCATGGTGGTAATTAGTATGGCTCTTTTACCATTTTTCTTGTGGTGGATTTGAAAAGGTGTCTTAAGGCAGTTGCTGGTTTACGTTATATGTAACTATTCTGTATTACTTGTAATACAATATCAAGTAGGGTGCCTATGGGAGAAGCTGCTAGCTATAGTCTTGTGGTAGAGAGACACTATGCAAGGTCTTTTGTGCCTGGAATGGCATCTGTTTACAGGTGTTGCAAGCTATGAATGAGTCATATTTTTGCATTTAGCAGCAAGTTATGCACTTTCATTCTTGTCAAAAAAATTATTAAAAAGTTTAAGAATAATTTGTGATGATTCAGTAAAGGAAGCTGAAAAACTAAGAATCAGCAGCACCTGCACATTTTTTTCTTTTTATCTAGTCCTTTTAAATTGAACTAGACATTGATTATTTTCTCTCTCTATGTAATAATAAGAATTGAATGTGAGAGGAATGTGTAGATCCAGAGTTCCCCAGTGAAAATGCACAGTGATAGGAATCAGGAAACTACATACACACATGTAGGAGTTCAGACCTGGCTACTTGTTTATGCCTGCTTTCTTCTGTACCTTCACAGACAAATATTTGCATGTATCTGTTTTTTTTACTAGATTTACCATCTGGCATGACAAATATCTCATGCGCTTACTCTTTAGCTATTAAATCCCTTCTTTTTTAATGAGTGGCATCAGAAAAAGTATCTACAAGGTTGGTGCCGCATTATATAATAGAGTGTGATCCATATAATTTTTTTTGTTTATGGCAAAATGAAAGGCAGAAAGTCACAGCATAATTATGTTCAAATGTAGAGAGGCCACAGGGTCTATGTAGGGTTCCTTTTACCGCTTTTAGTAAAAAACTGCATTGAGCTCTTTCATTTGATGCAATTAGCTGTTTTGGGAATGGTGGGGACATGCAGAGGGTGATTCTTTTACTAGACAACTGTGGAGAATGCTGTGTGAGAATGTTTTCAGGTGTTGGCACCAATTCTTCTGGACTGACCTCTGTGAGAAACAGAAAAATGGTGAATGTGCAGAGTAGCACAGTGAAGTGGGCTGGAAGCACTGTAGACAGAAGTGAACACAGTATAGCATTTGTCTTTTAAGTACTGCACACTGTTTCCACACTGCAGGAAAAGCATCAGCAGAAGTCTGAATACCTAAAATAAATAAATTGGTTGGATTATAAATTAAGGTAATGGGGCAGTTATGGAAACTTCTTTTTTTTTTTTCTTATTCTTATTTGTACTTGTGTTTTCTTTTTATTCCCAATGCAGTATCTCTCCTAACCTTGAGCTGGAAGCTCTTTTTAAACGACACTTCACTCAGGTGGAATTTTATCAGGGTTCAGTCCTTAATCCCCATGACCTGGCGAGAGTGAAGGTAACAGCTCTATTGTTCTTTTCTCTTGCTAATTGACTTTTAAAAAATTACTAATTGCATTATTTGGAAAAAAAATGTGAAGCTCTCCTTCATGTAACCCCGAAAGATTGTTTTTCCATCTCTAATACTTTGCCTAAGAAATGATAGTATCTAATCTTATAAAAATTCTTTTCCTTGTATTTTTAGATCCTCAAAGCTACAGTAACTCTGTGACTTAAAATACATTGTCTGCCATTCTATTGAACTCTCTATGAATTTTACACTGGGACTTCGTTCAAGAGTCTATTTTACATTAGTTTGATGTAATAGAACATTGTTTTATTGCTTAAAATTGTATTGGTTTACCTTCATGAGAACGATTAGAAAATAATTTTTCACATGTAAAACACTTTTTCTATTGTCTAGAATCCTATTAAAAATATAAACAAACCTTAATCTTAAAATCTTAATCTTAAGATCTTTGGTAGCTAAAATGAGATGGCTTTATGGTCTAGAATTCTCTATGGTAAATTAGTTTGTACTCTTATAGCAAAGCATGATGGTTAAATGGAGAAAAATAAAGGTGACAAGCTGTCAGATACAGCATTAACTCCTTTATGCTTTTTTTTTTTTTTTTTAATTGAATATAAACTGGCTACTTAAGCCAGTAATATTTTAGTGCAATCTTAACAGTTTCTGGAGTACTAATCATGACTTTTGTTCATTCTGGCTGCAGAAATTGGTTAACCTTTTGTAACCCAATACACGCTGTTCCAGTTCATTAGAACAAATTCTAATTATGACTATAAAATTGTGTGTTGGTATTTTGTGTTCTCTATTCCACCCTTCTTTGTGTTGACGTATTGTTGTATACACTGGGAAATACTCTTGTCATCCACTTTGAGTTAAATAGAGCTAAGGATTGTGTAAACACAGAGGACCTGTGAACAGATCATTCTCCTCCTCATGCTTTCTAAAACTGGTGCTCAGATTCTAAATCATCAGTTCAGCCACCTCTTCCTGTCTCTAATAGGAAAGTATTTACATTCCCAAACAAAGCTGCAGGACTTGCGAGAGCACTCTGCTAATGTAACAGGAACTTCCTATGGATTTATGAGTCTAAATTTCAGTATCTGGTTGCAAAAGATATGTCCATTACACCTTTGTGCCTGAGCTGATACAATGTAAGAGTCAATAGTTGAACTACTGACTTGGTCTGAGCATCATAAGCAAGTTTCAAGAAATTGCTAGGTATATATGAGAGCTATTATAATCACTCACATAACTCACACTAACTCCTTGTAGCATCAGCAGTATTAAGAACTGACATTCACAATCATGATGGCAGTGTTAGATTCCCTAATGCTTTATGTTGAAAGAATAGCTTGAAAGAGATGGTGCTGATTATGTTTGCTTTTTCTTCGGTGTCTCAGATAGAGTCAGCTGATGCGTGCCTAATCCTTGCCAATAAATACTGTGCTGACCCAGATGCTGAAGATGCCTCCAATATTATGAGGTAAACTCATTAGTTTTTAAGAGGTTTTTGTTCTTAACTCTGATTAACTAGCTTCTGGTGTGCAAATAGGCTATACCCACAGGGAGCTTTATTGCTGATCTGTTGCACTTGAAGAACATTGCAGGATTTTTTATTTTTATTTTTTTTCTATGGGACAAATTACAAGATTGTCTAAAAAGTCCAGAGATGAGGATACCCTAAATTTCTACCTAAACTGTTTTAATTTAACTGCTTCAGAGTGTGTCAGAAGAGACACTTGGAGCACAAGCTTTGGTACTTGTAGTCATTTTGCTAGACCTAGGGTTTGTCTTTAGAAATGAGGGGAAAGGGAATGCAGTTACTTTGTTGCAACAGTATCTTGCTTGAGTGCATGTACTGCATGGGCTGCTGTTAATGATTGGACAGAATCACACTTAATCATTTCATACTTGATTGCTCCTTGATACATCTGCTCCTACAAGTAATTGTGCTGGTCAGGGGATAGCAAGGCATACACTTCATGATGGTAATGTTCTAGCACCATCCTTCTGTTTTACACTGAAGACCAAATATCGCTTATTTTGATTGACAAGGCACTTACCACATTAGGGACCACCAGATCTTGTCCTGCCCTCCCCCTTCTATTCTCTGAAGGAAGGAGATGAAAGAGTCAGTAGATGGCAGCTAGAGTTACAACAAACCTAAGCCATTCCATTGTTTGTGTTTTGTTCATACAACCCTGGTTTTAATGAGACCAGTCTCTCCATTTAAAAACTAAAATCACAGAATCACAGAATCATCTAGGTTGGAAAAGACCTTGAAGATCACCTAGTCCAACCATTAGCATAACACTGACAATCCTCAACGACACCATGTCTCCTCTGGAAAAAGTTCACTGTGCGAAATAGATCTGGCTGTCTGTGGAAGGTGTATGGCTTAACTATGCCTAATTTCATTTTCCAAACATGCTTTTGAGTTGCAATGTGAGAAACTTTATTTTGACATTAATTGCATAAATACATCAAAAATATTCCAGTTGTAGATTAGTGCATTCTTAATAGATGTAATACATTTAATGTAACTTAATGCCAAAGTGTTATTTTGAACGTGGAATTCTATTATGTTTTCTCACATTTAAATGAATTTAATTCAACAACATTGAATGTTTAATTAAATAATTCAGCAAGAAATGGAAAATTAGAAGGAAGACTTGTTTGCTCCTTCCAAAAGAGAACATAAATTAAAATCATGCATACAACTTTTTTTTTTTGTTTCATGCTCTAGCTTTGATATGCTTCAAAGTGCAAGCCAGACGAGCAGTTTTTAATATACTTTCTACAATAAACCTATAAACATTTATGGCATTGAGTCTTATGAGACTGATGTTTCCATAACAATTCAGGGTTTTTTTTGATTGTTTTATCTTCTTTTATCTACCTTTAGTTTGTGTATGCAAAACTGATTTTTTTGACTTTTTTTCTCTGTTCAATGCTTTTTCCATTTTTAAATTGTATATTACTCTCTTCATAACATGTTATCAATCCACTAATTTCTCAAACATTTTTCTTTTCAGCCACTTAATCTGTCCACATCTGAGTATATTTTAGGCTCACTAAATAATTAAGAGTTCAGGAAATCTGCAGATTATGGGAGTAGCTAAATATTTTATAAATTCAGCATTCAGATATCAGTTTCAATATCAAGCTTTGAAATAATCCATAAAAATTCAAGGTGTTTGAATATGATGAATGTCTAGCAACTATAAATAAATAATATGTGATGGGGCAGAAGGAAAGGCATTCTTTCAGACTTAATTAAAAAACTTGATCCATTGTGTTGGTTCAAAGATGTGAAGATAATCACCGAAGATGACATAATAATTGCAAGTGTGTTATTTGCCTAACAAATGAGAACAGTATCCGAACAGTATCTGCTAAATATTTTTTTTTCTGCAAATTCTGTAAGAGCAAACCATTCAGCTGAATAATTCCTGAAGTTTAATGTTCTGTAATATTGGCCGATGGTTATTAACTGAATTTGACTAAATGTAAATCTTGCATAGGTCTGATTTCAATCAGTATGCTTTACAGCTAGATGAATAAGGGGGTACAGACAATTGTGGGATTTAACAACACAGTAAAGTAGAGGTATTAAGATACATTATCTAAATGTCCTATCAGCTAAAACGTATTTTAATTGCTTTTTCTTTTATTTGTAGAGTTATTTCAATAAAGAATTATCATCCGAAGATAAGAATTATCACTCAGATGTTGCAGTATCACAATAAGGTAATGTGACAACCAACAGCATCTCTCCCCAGATCTTTTTGCTATATGTATTCACTCATACACATTTTTTCTAGCTCCAGTAATAGTAAGCATTTTTCTTTCCAAACAAAAACATCCTAATAAGCTTTGTCATGTAATCCAGTTGCAAGGTAATTCAGTTTATTTATATATGCAAGGGACCTTATCAAATTGATTATTTATTAATTGCCTAGGGTCTAATTCTCAAACCTATAGTGTCCATAGTTGCTGTTGATTCCAGATGAGCTTTTAACTGCTCAGCTTCTTTAAATTTTGCTCAGCTTATTACACTAGAACTACCCGAGGTGAATTGGTGGCCCCTAGGCAAGTCATCTGAAGTCAATTCTTTGTGGATTCTTAAAATTTAAAAAAAAGCAGCATAGTAGTATTGTGTTATTGGAGATTTATTGTGATTTTTTAGTTTCTTGCATGACAATGTAGACCTGAAATTGCCAAATAGCAGCTACAAAATAAATAAAATTATTTTTTCATGTAAAACATAATGCAGTTGTGGAATTTATTGATAAAAATATTGTGGAGATCAAAATTATAAATCCACTTTGGAAAGGAATTTGGCATTTTTTTTACGGTAAATCTGTGACATTTAAACACAGTGAGGTCAATTCATTTAATACTGAGATGAGGAAGTCTATAAAATACTAGTTAACTGGGCTAGGAAGAATATATCAGAGGACAGACTACTCATATGTGATCTGCTTCTTTTATTATTTCTAAAAGCATGAAAAGCATCAAACACTGACAGCATTGGAGAGAAACCTTGGCTAGGTAGACTTCATTTAATGAAATACACAGTAATTCTGGTACTTAGAAACTTTGACTACTGGCAACTATCAACTCCTCACAGCTGTAACCTTTGTCTAGAACAAGAGCAGTTACTGTTGCTTGTGATGCGCTCTTCCCATACATGAATGGAAGGAGCCTGTCGTCTTATATAATAAAATTGAGATGTTTCTCTCGATACAGGTTCAGGGGGGAAGGTCTTTTAAATACTGCATTTGTCCTTTGTATTTCCAATGAATGTGTCCTCAAGATCTGTTATCAAAGCACTGAACTGTGATATTAACTTACAAAGAGAAACAAGCACGAAGGCCTCTGTGTTTACTTATGTCTATGCAAATGTACAGGTAGATGGAAAAGAGAATCTGATAGAGTTATGCCAGCAACTGAACAATATTATTACCTAACTGATCCGTGTCAATCTGTGTCTTGATCAGCTGTTTTCTTTATTCTGTCCTTACAAATACAGACTTGAGAAAAAGTTTGGATTTTCACTACATGCTATCCTTTGGGGTGAAAGGAATGAAATAGAAAGGACAGAAGATGTTGTGTTTACCGTATTAAGTGACAATGTCCTATGAAGGTTGCAGCTTCACACAAGTTGTATTCTAAGTTATATTAGATTCCTGTATATTATGTATATGCCTTATGAGTCAGAGAGTAGCTCAAAGTGCTGTAAAAGGAATATACAGAAGGGAAGGAAAGCTTTACAACATTCTGTGTTTTGTTCGGGTTTGAGGATGGGCATGGCAGAGTGTCACAGCCAGAATATGGCTTGAGAAATGTAAGATTTTATCTATAATAGGTAAGACTGGAACATTTCTTAGCATAGAATTAAATTCTAAAATACTTGGAGTGCTTCTGACTACTCAGAAAAAGTCAAGCCAGTAACAAAGAAAATAATTTACTGCTATCTCCTTCAATAGTACTGTATTTGAGGAAGTATTTCTGGTGCTTAAACCTATGGGGTATTTTGTTTGTTTGTTTGTTTCCCAGGCCCATCTGCTAAATATCCCAAGCTGGAACTGGAAAGAAGGGGATGATGCAATCTGTCTTGCTGAGCTCAAGCTGGGCTTCATAGCCCAGAGCTGCCTGGCACCGGGCCTTTCAACAATGTTAGCCAACCTCTTCTCTATGAGGTCATTCATAAAGGTAATGTCTTTTCTCATTATAATGTATTAGTCTGCAATTCAGTTTGTCAGAGTTGAGTAGAGAACATGACTCAAATATGAAACAGATAGGAACACATTAACAGATTTTGTAAGGAAAAAAAAAACAAACCAGTACACACTTCCATACAAAAGTTCTCTGCTGCAAACCAGGCAATGAGCGAGGTTCTATCAAGTTATGTTTTTATTTTTATTCAGAAAATGTTTGGCCTTTAACTATTTTTCAGAGCATCACCCATTTCTAGGGAGATATTTCTGTTGGTGTATTTTGCTTTGTTTTAGACAAACCACATGTTTATCTATGAAAAAAGCCCCTGCTGCTAAAACAAAAATATGATTAATGTATGTCCTGTATAGCAACAAAGTGCCTAGAAAAAAAGACTCATCATTTTAGTCTTTACATCAAGTGGTTAGTGGACCTCTGACTATGAGAGTAAATAAGGAACATGTGTTGGAACTGAAGCCTGAACTTCCTACAACATCATTCGTGTATTTATTTCTTCTCAAATAGCTCTTTTGGACTTAAATGTCAAATTTTAATGCAGCCATTCCTAGACTTCTACAGCAGCTGTAATAGTTCATTGGACCTTGATTGCAGCAATCTGTGCTTCCTTTCGTGCCTTTCTTGAATACTGATTTCAAACATAAAGGACGGTCAGTTCCCAATCCGATGAGTGTTATTAATGGAATGGGAAACAACGGGAGTATAAGGTGGGCCATGGCCCACTACAACTCCATTGTCCAAGTAAGAGAAAAAAAAAAAAAAAGCCTAATGTCCTCAGATGAGAAAGCCAGGACTGTTCTAGAGATGCACATATCAGTGCAGGACACTGAGTCATTATTTAGTTCTTATGAAGGCCTGAAATTCTTATTAAGGTATCCTTTGGAGGCAGCAGACTCCTGTGTGTCAAAAATGTTCCAGACTATCACATATAGTAAAAAAAAATGCCAGGTTTCAATATATAAACAAGGCCTGGACTCTGTAGTTTACTGTCTGCAGTTATGATGTTTACATTTTTATTCATGTTCTGAAAAAAAAAAATCTTTAACTTCAGTAAAGCCAAACTTGGGAACTATCTATGACTCATCAGGATATGGTCCCTTTGATATTAATCCTTTCTACTTATATCCCAAAAGAAAACTATGTATCTTATGAATTTCATTCTTTTTGCTGGTCATTTTGATCTCCCTCACTCGTGTCTGCTGTGGTAACCCAAGACTCTCAGGAATCTCAAACCTTTGTAACAGTCACACTAATATATCCAGATTACTGAGACAACCTTGCTCTTGACATCAGAAGTAGACATGAAACTTTTGCTCAACTTCTGTCTTTCCAAAATCAGAAGGGAACAATTTTTTCTGAAGGAGATCCAAATATATGGGTATCTTCAGAAGCCCCAGCCTTAATTCAAGTTATTTTACTACTGAATTTAAACTTGCAGTGAGAAAATGGAGAGATTCAGAAAGTGATAAAGTCTACAAATGTCTGATTATGGGGAACTGTACTAGACACACACACATTTATGGCCTGGATTTGTAGTTAAAAAGTTCAGACAAGTCAAAAACTACAAATGTAAAGGTAGCATCTTTCCAGAGAATATATCTAACCACTTATGCCATTATTTTACCCACTTTCAATACTATATTTTCTTGTTTTATAAGATATAATAATTTCAGCACAGTGACAGAATGGACTACCTCACTGATGAACAGTTTTAAGCTGAAGGCTCAGCTCTGCAAGGCACTTACTCAGATTACATCAGAATATTTCTATATATACAGAATAGGCTTAAAAAATAGCAATGAATTTTATTTCGAGGAAGCTTTCTATGTCAGTTTTGCTCTTGTATCTGTGATCACATACAGTTAGAATAGTGTGCAGACATACCTTAACTTGTGTTACTTCCCATGTCATCTTTAGATGGCAGTGAGAGAAAAAATGTCATAAAATAGTGCATTGGGACAATGCAAGACTCCATTAGTACTAATTAAAAAGATATCTACCATCTAACTAAAAATTAATCATTCAGGCAAGTAAAATGCATAGAATTTCCAAAGATCTCTGAATATATTAAAATCTAAAGCAAAATAAACATAACAAGAACTGAGACATTTCTTAATGAAAATCCAACTCAATTGGCAACAACAAAAGGTTTGTTTCTTTATTTACCTGAACAGATGTTCTTTCTTCAAGCATTCTCACTCTAAACCTGTATTTGAAAGAGAAAACTATTACTGAGTGGTGGCTGTGAATCAACAGTGTATTGTAGAAGAGCAAACTACATTGGTTGGAATTGTTAAAGAGGACTCTAATGAAAAGAAAGGTGGCCATTCCCTGGAAGAACTTCCACCCCTTTTCATTCAGAGCACTGAACTTAAGTACTGTCAGATTTTCATAAATTCCTTGGGCAAACATTAGTGGAGTCTCTCACGAGTTAGGAGATTTCCAGGAAAATGTACTGAAACTTCTCTATTTTTAAAAGAAAGCTTGAAATGTGTGTTTGTTCCTCCTCCTTCATAACGTGATTAGAAAGTGATTTTAATGTGTCATAAATGTTTGGTCAGTCAAACACTAATGAATATGATTGATGGTGACATTGCACACATTTAACTCATTAAGTGTTACTTTACAGCAAAATGATTTGTGTAAACAGTCTGCCCAATATTAGAGGTAAAACAAACTAGGAAACCTCAAAATATTATATTTTTTCCTAATATTTTCCTTTTGGCTTTAGCAATGTAATCTCATATGGAATCTTTTATGTTCTCTTTGGCACCAAACTGAACAAAAAGGAAATCAGCTCAAAAAGATTAAGGTTCCGTAAACATTTAAAGGAAGAAAGATAGATTGTACAACAAGTGATAACTTAAGGAAAAAAGACTTTACACCTGTAAACTGTATTTCAATAATCCAGTCTTTTTATAGCACACTGTTATATAGCTGTATTAATAAAAGTAATTGTGACTTTTTATTACTTACGTAGTCTCAGAAAAAAATGGCAATAGTATACTGTACTGCAATTTCTGTATTGTTTTGATTAGCAAATGTATACCAAAAGTCTACCCATATGAAAAATACTGCAAAAATAAGTAAATGTAATAAAAGGTAAGGGTGGTAAAATTTTGTCCCTATATTCAACCATGCAAGCCAATATGAGTATTGTTGTGTAAATTAATAAAATGTGGAATGTGGTCCATGAGCATAACACAAGTCCACAAATTAGTTTGTGTTTACTTTATTGGTAAGATGGTACACTTCATTCCAGATCTGAAGAATGATCTAGAGCAGTTTCAATTCTCCTCTAAGCTATTCTGAGAGCAGGAATGTTCTTTGGGCTCTTTTGGCAGCTCTTGCTCACACCCAGACATATACAGTGCATACTTCTCCCACTACATTCCTTTCTCGTGCAGACTGAAAGAGAGACCTAATAAAGCCACACAGATTTACATCTATCAGGTGCTTACCTACACTGGTGGATCACATCAACTGTGTTGCTATTTATTTTTGGCCACTTGGGCAGCCTTGGACTCTGAGACTAGGGTATGAACAATGAATTCCTTCAAATGAAGGAGTATTTTAAAAGGAGAGTGGGGAGGAATTGCAACTTTTTGGTTTATTGTCACATTCTTGAGGAGACTACGTAATAAACTGATTACCTGATCTACCTACCTCACAGGATCTACCCCAAATATTAATCTAGCCTGTTACCAAAGGCATTTATTCTCTAAAATGTCTGCCTGAATGTAATATTTTTAATCAAGTCTAGGAATTGAAAACTGTTGTGATTGAAAACTGTTAGCTATTTACAAATATGATCAGTCCTTGAGATAAGACTAATACTTGTCTTGGACCAAAATCTACCGTGGGATGCATTTTTCAATCATTCAAATAGATCAACACCAATCTATCATTTTCATTATGATTGAAGTACTGAATAAAACTAATTAATGAATAAAACTCTACATTAGCATGAACAATGAAAAAATGCACGTCTTACTGAAATTAGAGCTAATCTTAATTTACGTATTTGCTGTTTTATAAAACATACTTTTTTCATAATAATTTTTAAAAAGTTCTTGCATACAGAAAGAACTGTGAGAATAGTTGTCTGAAGTTGTAAAAATTTTATAACGCTAAGAATACTTGTTACCTTTGGTTTAAGCAGACAATGGAATTGAGTAAAGAGGTACTGGATAATTTATAGTACTTAAGGAAATTCAATTATAAGGCTGTAAATCTAAGAATTCACTCTTTGCTGAGAATGTGTGAACTGATTTCAGCCAATTACTTCTCTGTCAGATTTTGATATCCATATCTCAAGGCATAATAAAACCAGACATTCACACCAGCAATTTAGGTGGACTGAAAGGGCATTACAGGTGAACGTGATGAAATGTTTAAAATACATTGCTTTCAAAGTACAACTTGTTTTCAGCTACGAATCAAGAATATTCTGTGTATACTTTCTTTTTATTCTCATCTGTGTTGTTATAAAAATACCCACAGTGCTATGGAGAAGAGAATTTTAAAATTAAATGTCATGAAGCCCTGGAAGCATTCTGATCCTAGAGGAAGGCAGGAGTCCCTTTGTTAGATGAAAGTAGATGAAAACAGCTTGGCAAGGACTCAAGAAAATTGTCTTGGTGAAGATGTTTTTTTTTCTAGGCATTTTTTGTAAAACATTTCTCTACATGGCCTTCTGGGCATCTTCAAATGGAAAATTTTATACGTATTTTAGAACAGAAATAGGTAAAAACTTCCATGTAGTTTACACAACACTTTATTTAATCTTTTGATATAAACCTTATAATTTGGTGAAGACCATTCAGAATTTCTGAGTTACATGTTCTTAGACAAAATACTCCATAGTGGGACACATGCTGAACCAAAAAAATAGGCCATTAGAATAAAGCCAAATCATTTTAACAACAGCACTAAAATATTCAAGTGCTATTCTGGAGAGATCATGAATAGATTTAACT